ATTGCTGAGGGTTTTTAGAGAAATAATATGACTAACCTTTTTCTTTTAATTTCCTAAGATGTGGTGAAGCATTTTCAGTTTCAGTAGCTGGTCTCTAGCTTATTTGACACATAAAATGTATCAAGAAGGGAGGACTTTGGGTTTAATTTGAAATAAGGGGCTTTATGACCATTTTATGACTTTCTGGGCATTTGATAATTTAGATACGGTAAAACTTAGGCAGAAATTGTTACTTTCATGTTTAAGCCAAAGGATTAAAATAAACTGAATCTTGTTTAGAAGTTAAAATGCCGGTGTTCATAAGAAGCTGAATACCAAACTTAAGGGGAAACTTGAATAAAACATAGGCTTTGGTGAAAGGAGGGAAGATGTTAGGATTGAAAATGTTTGTTTTCTCTTTGATCTTTAAGTAGAATAAGCGGTTATAATGATTTTCTTACATGAAGAGATGATCTATTGTGAAAGGTGACAGTGTGTAGTAAAAGGTCAATGTAAAAATGCTTGCAGAGACAGATAACAGGAAGTTAAGACACAGTTTGCTTGGAAACTTTGCACTTGCAGAGCAACAGAGGGCGTCAAAGGTTGTTAAAAGTGCCGTTTACCTAAATAAATAAAATGGAAGATTATATATGTATACGCACATTGCAATCGTGCTCATAGGAGTTGTCACTCGGTCATGAAGGTCAAAAACTTCATTCAGCGTGACTGACTGAAATGATATATTTTCGGGATGACCTAGAGTGCCGATGGGTAAATGCCAACACGCTTACACGCATAATTAGGCTAATCCTTTTGATTAGAGTCCTGAACATGATAGGTTGACCAAGTTTGAAGAATTAAGAGAACAACTGATGGAAATAATAGGTTATGGAGGCGTAGCAGGGAAAGGTGTTTTGTTTATCCTTTACAGGAGATTTCGGGACCGCAGCGACCACAGGGGTTGGCGAGAATCCAGGAAGCCCCAGACCGAATGGAACCAACCAGAGAAAGGGGGACCCCAAAAAGAAGCACAGAGCACAGAGAACCACAGTTCCAGAAAATGTGCTGTTTAGGAGACTAAAAGCTCGTTAGACGCAGGTTAAATGTGAGCATAAAAGTAATGAAGAGTAATGAGAGGGACTTTAGTAATAGTTTGCAGGATTTCTATGTTATGTAAATTGCCCAAAAATAGTGTTAAGGCCGAATATATGTTACACCTAGAGGGGGTGAGAAAACCAGGAGTAAATTTTAAATTTTAACTCTATAGAGGCCGTTTCCAAAGAATGACAAAAGTAATGTAGACCCTTTTACCTGTGTGTCCATGTGTTGGGTCTGCGCTTCCACAGGCCCC